CAATCGTACTGGACGCCGGGGCATCAGGCGATGGCTCACACGAACTCAGCTGGAGGCTCACTTCCAGGACAAGAAAATCGTGGATGCAATCGTTGTCCGCAAGCAGACAGATGAGTACTTGAAGAAGACTGAGATCCGGGATCATCCGGACTGCCCAGGACCACCGGGTATATTATTACTAGTATACTATTACTGTCTGGTGATATGTCTGTGCCATACATAGTCTGTCTCTTCCTGGAACATCTTTAAGCAAAGTTTTGCTGCAGGATTGGTTCAATACCTGGTGCTTGTTGATGAAGAGCACACAGACGAAGACGCAGACGAGATTGTCGACATGTTCCGAGCGGAGGACAGGGACCAGTCGGACGACGACGATGACGACGACGACGACGATGCTGAAGACGATGATGAAGACCAGCCGAAGAAGGGTGCCAAGGATCGATAAAAATCGTTACTTCTCTCACTCATTCACTCGCTCACTCTCACTCACTCACTCACTCACTCACTCACTCACTCACTCACTCTCTCTGTCTCTCTCTCTCTCTCTCTCTCTCTCTCTCTCTTTCTTTCTCTCATGGCTCCGTCTTCGGGCACCCTTTGTGTTGCAACATAGTCTCTATCGCTCTCCCTCTCTCGATCTCAACCACAATCAGTTCGACCCGTAAGGGACCCAAAGGCAAGAAGCCCAAGAAGAAGAGCGGGGCAAAGGATGCCAAAGCGAACAAGAAAAGAAAAAGCAAGAAAAAGAACACTAAGAAGGATCCGGCAGAGGAAAAGGAGGAGGCAGAGAAGGAGAGAATGAAAAAGATGAAGCAAGATGCCAACAAGGCCCGTGCCATTCATGCAAACCCCCCCCAATTGAGCGCATGCTTCCCAACGCCCTCCCAGGTGATCACATCTCTCAGCAGGGTCATCCGGGAGACCAACGACAAAATTTCGGAGCTCTCTGGGATGTGTCGGGCTAAGCATGCATAAGTGTATTGTCAGTATCACTCACCCGAGCAAACGTTCTATCCTGCTTCATGCCAAGGAGCAAGAACATTCAGGCGGCCCTTCGCAAGGATCTCAACGATGCCATCTCCCAGCTGACTACCTCGCGAGCAGACTTGCAGTCTGCTTTGGATGCCAGTGAGGAGCCCTTCCATTTGATCATTAGCTTGTGTTTTGAATTGCGACCTATCCAACCTTCCTATGAGGAGACCCGCATCACCTCGAGCACCGAATCCGCGAAGGCACTGATCTCGAAGTTGCAGCAGCAAGTGCTTTCATACGGCAAGAAGAAGAGTTTCACAAGCAAGTAGGAAGCTCGTCCGATACGCAGCCCCCCGAATGAGTGCAGGTGGGCTTACAGTTTAGTGCTTAGGGGCATTCAATATTCTGGCAACTTGAATACATAGTATGCAATAGATGCTCGTCGCTCTGGGGTTTATGGGCTGTGTGGAGTAGATGATGCTATTTCGGCATTATGACACTTAATGCCGGTTGCGACCACGAGTCAGATCACTGGCCGTGCACTATTATTTTGATTGAGTGCTAGCAAAGCATCTGTGATCCTGCCAAATAGTTTGGCCTGCTTCTGGTGCACAATGGGATGGGGAAATCCTTACGTGTGCCTTAGATGTGCAGACCTGAGTTGGTGGGCGGCTCTTGAAAAATGAGCTGAAAGCCATGCCACCTTGTTTACATGTACATGTATATTACACGATTCATACAAGCAATATCTGCTCGCTTGCAGGTAACTTCTCCAGATCAACATCGAGTACTTCAGAGCTGGTTTTTGATATGATCGATAATATTGCTGCCGCTGCTGCTTGACTTACTATCGAGCACTCCAAGCATGTCCTAGCAAAGGAAACCCCAGTACCGAGAATCAAACCGATCGTTGAAGCATACAGCAGAGGCCAGCTCCATCGACCGCGAGATGCAGAGCGCAAAATCATCCGTGAAGGAAGCCCGACCGCAAATAAAGTACAAGGACTAGAATCCGCAACCCAGCCAAAACCTATAAATCATCATTATAAAGCATATGCTATGACCAAAGCCCGCAACATATGCCCGGAAGTACACCCCAAATCCCAAAGTCCTTAGTCCTACTCTGTGGCCAAGGACGCAGCCTCTGCCGCACTTCCCGCCCCGCTGCTCAAAATGGGTGCCTTCAGCGGGAAAAACAATGCTCGAGACTTCAAGCGAGCAGTTCGGCTTCCCGTGGTGGCTGGTTTGCAAACATCTGCATTAGCACCGGCCCTTCTACCTTACATAACGTTTAGTCTCCAACACAACCCAGACCCCTTAACCACCCTACTCCAATCCCGGCCTTAATATCACTTCCCCGGTACACCCGACGTTGTTCTGTGTTTGTAAGACAGCTAGAGAGCAGGCACCCATTTATGTGGAGACGGTCGTCAAGGCAAAACACGATTCAGAAGA